AAGTTGGCCATAATTATGTTTTCATTTGTTCTATCTATTCCTCCAAGACGTTTTTTCTAGTGTTCATTGATAAGTATGCCAACACCTGAGTCCTTTTTCTTTTTTGGATTTGAATTTGCCCAGAAATCCTTATATTTCTTCATATTTCTCATAATAAAAAAATCTTTTTTGCTTGAAATATTTGTTTCTGATAGCCTAATTATATCCATTTCATTGTCAATTAGTCATTCATACAGTGTTTCTATTTTTTGATTATTTCTTTTAAGGCTATTGATATTATGTGCTGCTATATTTAAGTTGGTTCTTTTTATGTTTTTATTTCTTTCTTTAGTTTTTTCTTTAATTTCTTTTAGGTGTAGTATATTTTTTTGATTTGTAGTTTGTTTTTTCTTTTTCTGTATTAAAAAGACTTTTGTTTCTACACCCTTGTTCTTTGGTTCAACTGTAGTGAAAATTAGAAGCATTATAGCCATTCTCTTTTGGTAAAAATTTTGGATTGCATTTTTTGTATTTTAAGTCTTTCAAGTCTAGTTAATATGCATTGTAAAAGGTCTTGCATTTGTGTTTGATTTTTTGTATTTACATCTTTTTTGTTTCTTTTTTTATTTTTATATTTTTTGTTTTCTTGAGAATCTACACTTTCATAATCTTCTAAATCAGTGTCTTGACCAAATTCATCTATATCTTCTTTTCTTCTGTTTTTTAAACTTCTTTCTTTTTTGTTTCTCTCTTTTCTTCCATTATTCAATAAACTCTAAAGTTGTATCTAATTGGTTTAGTTTGAGCTAAGTTCATTTTCTCTTTCATTGCAAAGGTGATTGTTGCTGTTCTTCTTTGATTCCCATTTCTGTTTAATGAAATATAGACAGACTTTGCACTCTTATTTTTTAAACTTCACAGCAAAAATACTTCTGATGCACTTCCAGAAAGTTCTGTTAACTTTGCTGTAAATTGGCTTTGGCAATTTCTTTCTTCATAATCTTTATTTCCTTTTATTACTCTTACTAGTTTATTATTATCTATTGATAATAACCAAGATATGTCTTTATCTTTATATTTATCTGTTTTGATTATTGCCAATGCTTTGTATTTTAATCTTTTGATTCTAACTATGTTAGTCTTTTTGATTTTTTTGCAAATAAAATCTAATTCTGTTCTATTTATGTTTGCTGATAGGTTCCAAATAGTTAGATAGTTGGTGTAAGTTTCTTTTAGTTCTTTTTTAACAGAAAGATTTTCATCTTCATTTTTTTCTTTATTTGATTTATGTTCAGGTTGCTTTTCTTTAACATTTAATTGCTTAACTTGATCTTTTTTTTTTTTTTATTTTTTGTCTTCTCTGAAATGAGCTTAAGCCATTCTTTTTCTTTTCTACTAATTCTTTCGATTGTTTTATCTCTACTGTGTTCACAATCAAAGTTAACTTCAATCCAATTATTTCTTTTTTTAAAAGCTTCTTTGATTGTTCTTATATGTTTGTTTTCTCCTAGAATTCATTGAATGTATTTAATTCTTTTTTTTTTGTTTTTCCAAGTAGTATATAGGTGGGGAAATTGTCCTTAAAAGACTTGTTTTCTGTATATGTTCTGTATCTAGAAGACCAATCACTGTGTTCTATTGAGGTTGAAGATGAGAAGAAAGATGAGAAAGAAGAGAAGATAGACAATGATATGAGGTCTTCTAACTCTATTTGTTCAGTTTCTGTTGGTTCTACTGGTACATTTTCATTGATCTTTTCTTTTTCAACTTTCATTCTTATTTCTGTAAAGTAGTTTGTATCTGCTTTTTGGTATTGCTGTTCTATATTAAGTTTTTTAATTTGACTTGTTATGACTTTAACATCTGTACTCAATTCTGTTTTATTATTAATTGCTTGATGTCTTTTCTTTAAGAGTATGTTATTGTTAAGATTCTTCTTTTCTTTTGATTTTTTTTCACTTCTTCTATTTTTTTTTCTTCTTTTGTATTTTCTTCTTGCTCATACCTACTGTATATTTAACTGATGTTGGGTTAAGATTTGCTATTCTTATTTTGTTGGCTCAATCTTTAATAAACTTTTTCAGTAAAATTATTATTACTTCTGTTTCAACTTTAAAAGCTTTAAGTATTTGGTCATATAGTATTAAGTCTTTTGTTGTAATATTTTTTGAGTTATTAATTACTAGACCTTTAGCTATAATTTTGATGTCACTTGGATTCTTGTACATGGTTGTCCTTAGTACTTGATCCAACTTAAAACTATTTAAATATCTATAAACTATATTACCTATTTCTTGTATATGTTGAATTAAAAATTAATTATAAGGCATTTCCATTATGAGTTGTACACCTGTTTCTTGACTATTCTATTGATGTCTACTATTTTTAGAATTCTCTACAGTTTGTTTGTTGTTGATTTTGCTAATATGTTTATATTTCCTAAATAGGATGTGTTTGCTCTGTGTAATCTGTTTATCAAAGATTGTTAATATATGGCATGTGTCTATTTACTATTATTCAGGGTCTAAGTCAAATCTCCAAATTTTTTAAAATTTCTGTCTCAATTTTACAAGAGTTCAAAAGTTTCTGTTATGCTTCTATTTTTTTTGAATTGTTGTTCTAAGTCTATTTCTTTTTTTCTTCTTGAAATTATTTTTTAGTTGTTCAAAGTGTTGTTCTTAATCTAGTTTTCTACTTTTCTTTATAATTTTGATTTTGCTTTCTTATAAAAATGTAGATCAGTAGAAAGAGTTTTTTTTTTTAAATATTAAACAAAAATTATATGATAGTTTAATGATATTATAATAATATTTAAATCTGATATATTATTGATATACAACAGAAATTAGCAAAAATAAAATATCTTTCAAATTATATTGAACAATTTATAGTAATCTTTTTTATTATTATCTTATTTAACTAAAAATTAATATTAGCCAATTAATAACTTAATTAAAATTTTTTTTTCCTTAAGCAGTCATGTTAGTACTTTATTAAGTTTTTGAAATTATATTTGTAACTACATAAATATCTCTAATATCTAAGTTTAGCATTATCCAGCCACCTTAATGATACTTAAGTGCACTTTGCTGCATTATTTCAAACAGAAGTAAGCTGCTTGTCTGACTACTTAAAGTCTATAATAAAAAGGTCTTCTTTCTTTTATAACAAGCCCTAACATTGTCTTTATTACTTTCTTCTCAACTTGCTTTTCTTTTTTTCTTTTTTTTTCTTTTTTTCTCTTTATTTTTTTTTGATTTGTCTTTTTTTATTTTCTTGGTTCCTTCAGTTTTCTACCTTTTTTCCTTTTAATTTTATCTGTTATCCTAATTTTTTTTTCATATTTGATAATTTTTTTATAATGTATTCTTTATACTTGTTTGTAAAATATGTTATAGGCCATTATTGCTATTGTATTTGCAAACTGCTGTCTTGATCTTGCACTTAATAGCTTTGCTAGTTTGTCTTGTGTTTCTTTTGAAATTAGGCCTTTTATTAGCACTTCTCTTATTTTAACTTCTGCTGTCTCTGTTTTTCCAAAATGTGCCATATATAACATATATGAGAGGATCTGAATCTTTTCTTCTTCTTTTAATTTCTTCTATGCTGTTGCAATGGTCACTTTTTGGATTCTTTTTTAGAGATTTCTTTGCCCTGTGCATACTGCCAAGTATGTTTGCATTTCTTTTATTTTATCTTGGCATACTTGGCATTTTACTGTTGTATATACATCTGATCTTCTTCTGTTGAGTTCTTTTAAAGTTGAAAGTTTATCTATTATGCACTTAATAAATGCACTTCTTCTGAAGCTGCTTTTTCTTGTTGTACAATGTATTTCCTTAGTCATTTTTAGCCTTTTTCAAAAATAAGTTCAATCATAAATTGTGATTTCTGCTTTTGGCTTTAAATCTTTAACTGCTTTTATTTTTTTCTACTTTGCTCCTAGTCTTGCATTTATTACTAACTTGCAAAGCAATCTTGCTAATATGTCAGTTTGTCTGTTTCCTACTCTAGGCAGTACTCTATCTCTTTACAACTGACTTTTTTGGCCTATATTATTTTTCTACTTATTGTTCTCTTCTTTGTTAAACTATTGGCTTTATTATTCTATTTGTTTTTACTATGACTTTTATCTTTAATTAAATCTATCTAAATGTTTTTTATCTTGACAAGGTCTTTAATCTTCATTATCTATATTGTATTCTTCTTCTTAATAATCTTGTTTTTGTCTGTTTATTCTAGACTTCTACCAATATTTCTTATTGCAACATCACTATTTGTATATATTTCTATTTGCTTCTTTTTAGGTATTATTAAAATTGCTGTCTAAATTGTTACCAACTCTGCTACTATTGATGTTTGCCATCTTTTAAGTCCAAATGCTACCTCTTCTTCTGATTATTCATGTATTTCATTTGTTTGGACCTATCTTATATCTATATTGTTTTTAGATATTGGCTCTTTACTATTTTTTTTTTTTTTTTTTTTTCAGTATTAAGGTAACCTCTTTGGTTTGAGCTTTTTATTAATACTTATAGCAGGTATATGTTTTATATAGACAGATCTATAATGAACTATTAGACAAGTGTACAACTGGCTACACGTGTAACTTTTCTATATTACAGTTGGGGAATATACCAAATTTTGGACACTGTCGATCGCACCTTTTATAGCGATAAAGATGTCGATCAATGATTCTAGAATTATCTAATACAATATATTCAAAAATTCGAATTTCATATTACTTCTATACTTCTATATTTGACCGTGCTAAAAGTTCTAATAAGCGGGTTGGTAACAAACGGAATCTTATTTACTTAAATAGTTTTTTCAATCAAATACAGTAAAACTTCTATAAGTGCACACTCTTGAAACTTAGCATAAACGAAATGCACTTATAGATCAAAAAGAAAAAGTGCATTTATAAAAACCGTATAGAGTTTGAATATGCATTTGGAGAGGGCGTGCACTTATAGAGTATGCACTTATGGAGGTTTTACTGTACTTTAAAGTCAAGGTAATCAGAACCTTGTTCCAGTTTTCCTTTTTAGATCATGAATCTGGAACATTTTTAACACGATACCTTTCAAGACTAAAAATCCACGTTGTTTTGGCCCAATTTGGACTTCTCTTATGGTAAATACTAGTACAAATTCCTTCTTTCGCTGTAATAATATAAATTATTTTATTTATCATTATTTTATATTTGCAGACTATTATCCTGAATCCTTAAAGCCATCGGGTTTTATCTATTCATAGATAGGGTTTAGCATAATGGCAATTATTTAAAGACTATAATTTTATTTATATGTATTTTAAATAAATGTATTTTATTACTGTATTTATCTAATTGAAATTAAAATTTACAATTGATTCACAATAAAGAAAAGATAATACAAAGTCGTTCATGAAAAAGCATTCTAATTTACCAAAACTGTATTATACTACACTTAAATAATACATTAACAAAAAGAAAAAAAAATAATGGTGACATGTAAGAAGAAAAAATTGATCTGGATGTTAAATAGAGTCGAATATCCCTAGAATTGCTACAAAATCTCAACAAAATCTCAATTCTAATTAGCATGCTCTATTTCATATACCTCGAAATTTTCAGTGCATTCACTATCATCAAGCTCATCAGAATTAAATAAAGATCTTACCTCCTCTAATATAACCAATAATTCATTACACTTCTTGAACTTTATTCTACGATATTTTTTGCAAATGCTATCACTTGCCTGTTCAAGAAGCATTTCTATTTTACAAATAATTTCTGAATTGGTCATAGTCGCTTCACTCGTTTGCTTAATTGCTTCTTGTTTGGTAATTGGAATAGACCTAAATAAAGAAGCAGAGTTATTATTATAAAAAACTTCAATAATATATTCTTGTCGAGCCTGTTTGGTAAACTAGTAAAATTCATCAACTGTGCACTTAATTCAAATTCTTCTCCTAGGCTTCTACAAGAATTCGCTGTTGAACTAACGAAATTTTCTTTTCTTAAGTGAGCTCAAAATCTCTTACATTCCACGACTGCTTCTGGTTTAACCCTTGGACCAGTTGTTTGAGTTTCATTATATTCAATCGATTGAAAAAAATTATTTCGTAGCTAAATTTAAAAATATAAAATTTAAAAACTTTTAATAACTTAATGCAATAATTGCATATTAATTGTATACCTGGAAAAATTTTTTACAATTTCGTGTGGCAATTTGCCAATGCCACATTTGTGGAATAGGAGGTATTAATGTTTTCAAGGCTTTATTTATCTTCTCTAAAATTGCATCTAACCCTTGATGCTGATTAGAAAGCCCTGACCGTGAAATTGTACAATTTCTTTCTACAAGATTCCGTATAATTGGATTAAGCTGCAATAGTTGCACTTTATCCGCAACTTCTATAAAACGATAAATCGGATAATGTCGTGCAGACCATACTGGAGAAAAGACTCTCCTTGCAGCACTTTTTAATAACGGATTATTCTCCCTAATAGCTTTTCTGTAATTAATTATGGCCTGCAGATAAACAAAAGTCTATTTAACACAATATTAGTATTAAAATTTTTATCAAATTTAATAAAAAATCTAATTAAAATTTAAAAAATTTTACTTGTTCAAACTTTATTTAATAATGTGGATCCATTTGTCCCTTTACCCAGACTAAGTATTCTTCTACTGATGGATTAGAAGAACATTTAACATATGGCTACATCAATTCCATAGCCATAGCCCAACGATAAATGTTGCAGACCGAATCCCAAGACTTATGATGGTCATGGCATTTCTTAAAATAAGAGAGCTGATTTTCTATTTTATATCCTTGAGATATTGCGAATTGCTTGAGATCGATGTCCCTATTAACAATTAAAGGTTAATAAAATAAAAAATAAAATATCTAAACACGAAACAGATTTACCAATTTAATTCTACAAAAGCCCAAAGCATGTTCATTTCTTCATGCAATTGTCTAGGGATAAGAATTAGCCATGGATATTTTTCCTTAATTTTTGCTGCCCGATGATATGGAATACTGTCACATGTAACAACTACCTATTTGTGTATTCCATCTTCAATTCCTGAAATTTTTTTAATATTAAGAAAAACTTTTTCAATATTTGTAGTTGTATTAGGATTAACATCAAGAGGGTCGGATATAAAAATTTCCGGAACATTAACTCCTTCATCAGCACACATTTTTTGGGTAATACTAATTCTTGGTATATTAGATGGTCGAGTTTCTTTCTGGGTATTATATAGTTTAGAGGTTGTAGACTGTTCGGCTATATCCTCTTCTACTTCAACACGTTGCTTTGACATTTCCGACATTTCTAATAGCATAGGTAAACGAAATTTACAATCTGAGCAAACTTGCTTTCTATTGTCAATATCTTGCTTTTTACAATTAGGGCATTGTTTACTACAACGAATATTCAAGCCTAAATTAGATGCAAAAGAATCAATCTTATTAGTTGCAGTTAATTTTTCTTTGTGCAATAAATCAAGAATTTCAAAAAAATAAAGATGCAATTCTTTATCTATAACATTTTGCATTTTAGGCGTAGAATCGAAAAGACTTTAGTATTGCAACCTATTAAGAGAATCGAATGCCCAAGGTTTATTATTAGTATGTTGAATATAATTATACAGATCTATATTAAAGGCAACAAAACTAGTAACAGTGTGAAATATCACTGTATTGTGTCCACGATCGAGATAATTCCTTTGCCCCCATTGCTCATTGTCAAATGCTAAAAATATGAGGCCTTCTGGTAGAGCTTCTTCTTTATCTAATAATTCTTCTAACCAGTTTTGAAAACAGAAATAACTTCTCAAACTTGTGATGTGATTATCGATATTGATAATAGTTTTTGACCTTGCTATAGAATATTTAATAGCTGATGCTACAAGATTTATTTCCGATATGTATTTTCCATGTCTAGACCCATATACCGAATCGACTGCCATGGTCCTTTTAAAAATTTTTTCAGCATTTTCAAGACCTGTATTACGGTTATTGTATGTTAGTGTTTCAATAAATTTTACAAGAATTTGGTTACATTTACTTAGCCAGATATGAGGGGTATAATTTAATAGATTTTCTAAAGAAAATCTATTGTTCTCTCTAATCAAAGCTTCGACATTCTCATATAAAAAATTTCGTTCAATTAGTGCAATATCAGTGACCACTTGTATGCGCTTATCTTGATTAGAGTACCGAGAATCCCAATGCTTGACCAGTTCTTCATTTCTATCAACTTCATCACTTAACAAACCTTTCAAATTAACTATAACTTCTTGACGCTCTTCTAACTGTCTCCTCAATTTTAAAATTACTTGCTCTTGGTTTTCGATGTTTCTTTGAAATTCTGTGATCATAGTAAGCTCCCTATTTTCTTGTTCTTGCAACTGTTGCTGCAATATTGTAATCGTATGCTCATAGTTTCTTATATGACTAGTTTCTAGATACAATTCATTAATTTCTTCACGGGTATTAGAATTATAAGTAGAAGTAGGACTGTCAGAGCTAGCATTAAATCGAAGTCTCTTATTTTTAAAAGCAGGATTATCTAAAAGGTGGCGATGAAAATGATTAGTAGAAATTACTTGATTAAAATGTTTTTCACAAATTGAATGCAGATACAAATAAAAATTAAGTTTAGGCATATAATCCACATATAATTTAAGCCAATTAGTGGTAGTTGGTGTATCAGCATGTCTCCAGGTTTGTGATTCTTTCGTTTCACAGGGCCTTAGACTGAGCTTACTATATTTGCTAGCTATTGTACTAAACACACAAGGAAGATCTTCAGCTCTTGGCTTCTCTACGGCTGAAGAAGATTGCGACATCATTATCAAGCTTTATACAAGTGTTTTAATAAAAGAAAAAAGAAAAAATTAATATTGTAATAAAATTTAAATATAATATTCATCATTATTTCAGGTCTCATTTATCTTTTCAAAAAATGTTGATTACTGAAAAATAACAGCTGATTATGTAACTAGAAGTTTTCAACTTTCTTTTTGAATATTGACTTGTCAAAGTTTGCTACTGAAAATGCCTCTAAATTCTAGCGATAGCACCAATTATCATTATCCAATCATCGGGCAGGGAATTTTTGAAGATCATTCTAGATACGTTTTAGAACCAATCTTCAAATTTGCTATATTTCCTGACTGTATTACCTATTTAAGGAGTTCGCCTGAGGGTTCCCCACCAGTTGCTATACCTAACACCCCTGCTTAGATGTTCCATTTAAACTCTCTGATCTAACCCTAGTATTAATTTCACCAGATCACAGACCCGGATCTATTCACAATCGACCATAGGACTATAATCCTTAGACTATTTTTATCTTTGAGGTAAACCTACCAGAGCGAGCCATATTTTCTTTTACTGCTAACCTGGTTTGACACTATGACTGGGGCCAACACTTGCAGTCAGGGTTATTTCTTAAACCGCTATTACCCTTGTAAAGTTCACCCAAATCCTGGTACTCATCTTTCCAACTTCTTTTCCATCATCCTCTACTAGCTACAACTCGGAACTATCTGACTCCCCAGACTCCCAATCCAGATAGCCCGGTATGATATACTTATGTATCCTTTTTCTTCGGTGATTCCGGCAGCCTGGTTGGTCATGTGCTCCTCTATACATCTTGTCATCTGGTTTATCCGACAGTTTCTATAAAGGTGTTTCATGGGCTTCCATCAGTTCAATGGCACCAACGAAAGTTTGTGCTACCTCTTTACTCAGGATTTCTAAGTGAGTTTCTGTCTCTTCGGTTTCTTAGCCTTCTATGCCCAGGGGTCTTATCATGGGTTTGCACTAAAGCCTTATATGATATCGGTTTTAACATTCCTCTATGTACATGTACTGTGTAATGTTACACTTCGCATAGATGCCCTGAGCTTTCAATGTCAGGTGGGGCCCAACTTGGTGTACCTAAGATTACAGATGCCCAAAACCCAACCAATCGGTAGAGACAGTTACTGTAACACAGATATAATTTCCAAAATTCGTCGTTCATGGGAATTGAACCTTAGACCTGCCACTTGAGGGTTGACAACCTATCCACTTCACTAGGTCGCCACACCCCACTGTCTTTTTCATTAGCTTCACTGTTAGTATATATTATATATTTATTCTTGTTTCTTATAATGTTTCTTTTTAAAACTTCTGTTATTTCTTAACTAATGTTTTCTTCCAGTTTTTGTTATTTAATAATTTTTATCTCTAGTTCTTCTATCATTGTAAGACCTTTTAATTTGCATTCTCTTATTTTTAATTTGTTTATTTCTGTCTTGTCTATTATTTGGTTTACTATTATCTTAATTTGATTGCTACCCTTACTTATTAATCTCTCTGAAATTATATAAATATTTTTATTTAATCTTGTCCATTGCTGACAACTGTTTTCTATCTGTTCTTCTTTTCTTATACATTCTTATATCTTTTAATCTTAGTTGCTACTTCATTCTTTTTGCACTCTATTTGCCAGTGTTTGATTAATATTTTTTTCTTTTTCTTTTTAACCAACTTTCTGAGTTGTCTGTAGTCTTATGTAACATATATTATCAATTCTTTTCTTCTTCTGTCTTCTGATATATGCTCTTATTTAACTTGCATTGTTTGAGTATTTTGTTCATCCATTCTAAAGTATCTTTGTACTACTCTATTCTCTAGGTTACTAAGCACTTTTAATTCAATTGCTTTAAACCATTCTGCTTTTTTTTCTTTGCTTAATTGGCCTTAATAGCTTTTAAGTTGCTGCTAAGTAATTAGTTTTTCTTTTCTTGTATTAAGTAGTTGGTTCAGATATATTAGTCCAGCTTTGTTTACTCTAACTGTCTCTTTTTTCCACAATTATGCATCTATCAGTTCTTGTATTTTAGTATCATATCCAAACATTGTTTATAATTTACTTTTCATTCTAATATTTATTTTTAGTTTTTTTTGCTTTAAGTATTGTAAGACATGCTATGTTGTTCTTTAGATATGTTTTAATTTTTGGCTGCTCCTTTGTCTTTTATATGTATTTTGTTAAATCTGCTTTTTAATAGCCTTGTGTTGTTTTTAGTCTTGTTAGCTGTCTGAAACTGTCTTGTCTGTTTAGTCTTGCCAAGAGGCCACTCACTTGCTTTATAGTTATCTTTTGTCATAAAGTTCTACAGCTACCAAGATCTTTGTGTTTCATTATGCAGTTTTTTACTGTTCTTTGCAGGCTGCTTTTTTGTTTTGCCAAACTTATTATTAGTTAATATATTTTATTTAGGCTTCTGTTTGACATCTTTGTTAGCTGTAATATATAGTTTAGTTTAGGTATTATTATCATATTGTTTATGTATGCAATCTGACTCATTGTCATTTTTTTGTACTTTGATTTCTTATAGTTTGACTTACTATTTTTTTTGCTTTCCTCTTTACTTGTATTTTCTGCATTCTGTTGTTTAACCATATTTATAATAAATGAACTATTTTATGTCTTGGTTCTTCTATTATCTTGCTTTTTCTATATATTACTGCTCTTTTTTCTTTTTAGACTTTCATGTTCATTATTATTAATTTTGACTTTGATTCATTTATCTTTATATTATTTATTTTAAAAAACTCTTCCATTATTTCTAAGATTTCTAACAAATTCTCTTTACTGCTTGCAATCCATGTTGTATCATCCACATATGCAATTGCTGTTTGATAATATCTTGTAATATTGTCATAGTGTATACTTTTTTGTAACTGTTGCTTGACTGTATATCCTAAACTTTCCTTTTTTTGAATTCTCTCTAATAATAGATCATAGAAGAGATGCCATATTAATAGTAAGATTACTTCATCTTGGTCTATTTCATCTTCTGCTGTTAGTTCTTCTGTTAGGCCATAGGCTGTAATTATTCTTAATTGCCTTTTGTGAAAAGGATTTAGTATATATTTAATTGTTCTCTTAAGTATTTTGACTTTTTGCAATGCTAGTTCAAGACTTTTAAAAAGAACTAAGTTGAATGCCTTTTTTATATTTTGCAACAGTATCCATATTTCTTTATTTTTTTTTTTTGCTTTTTCTATTATTATGTTTAAAATCTGTACTGGTTGCTCTGTTAAGTTTCCTGAAAGGCCTGCAAAATTTGGCCCTCTAAGTATTTCTCTTTTTATAAATACTTTGGCAAGCCTTTTTGTTACCACCTTTATTACAACTTTTCTGAATGTTTTAATCAATGCTATTGGATGGATATTGTTTAAGCTATATTCTCATTCTACATCTTTTGAAATAGAGTAAACTTGTGTTATCTTTTACTTTATTGGAATTTCTCCTACTTTTAAGCATAAGTCTGCAAAGCTTCTAAAAACTTCTTGTGTTTTGTTCCTGCCTTTTTGATTAATATATAGCTTATACCTGAGATACTCAGAGCTGTTCCTGTCTTTAATTCTCTTAGTACCTTTTTCTATTCTTTTTTCTTAATTTTTTTTTTGACTTCTGTATACTATTCCTTTCTAATGCTTCTTCTTAGTTTATATATTTCTTTTTATTTTTTTGTCATCATTTTTAATTTGATGTTTCTTTTTCTAAATTGTATTTTATAATGTTCTGCTATATTTGTCTTTACCTCTTTTGGTTTTGTTATTAGATATGTTTCTTCTTCTTCTTGCTTAATAAGTCTATTAAGCATTATTTTTTTATATGGTTTATTTAAAAAACTAGCAATCATTTTTCCTTGGTTTGTTTTGATTATTTTGTATTACTGGTTTATATTCTTTTCTATTCATCTTTTTTGTACTTGTTCTCAGTCTTTTTTCTTTTTTTCTTATAGAAGCTTTTGCTATTCTTTTATATCCTTTATTTAGGCATGTGACCAATGTCTTTGTAATTTTGGCAGTTTTGCACCTATCTTATTGTCTAATGTTTTTAATTGTTTATTTGTCTCTCTTTTTTTTTATTTTGTTATTTTTTTGTTTTTTTTTGTTTTTGTGTATTTGATTAATCTTTGTAGCTTTATAGTATCTTTTTTTTATTGTTGTGTTTTTTGACTAGTTCTTCTATTTGTCATTGTGTTGTATATTCTTTTTTTAGGTATATGCTTATTTGCTGTAGTAATAATTGCTTTTTCTATTGTATTCCATATACTATTTATTTTGTTTATATGTTTCTCTATGTTTTGCACTTCTGTTTGAATATTTTTTAGACTTTCTTTTACTTCTAATCACTTTTGCAACTCTTGCACATAATTTTTCTAATTTTCTGTTTTTGCCTGATTATATAAATATAATGTTCTTGATTGTCCTTTTCTTTTAACCTCTGTTTTACTGCTTTTTTCTATCATATGTCTAATCTATATTTCTGCAGTTATAATTTTATGATTGCTTTTCATAATTTCTTCTGTTTTCTTAATGTTTGCCTTTTGCAAGCCCAAGGCCAGTTCTTCTGATACCCAAATATAGTCAATTCTTGTTGTAGTTTTCTTATTTGATCATGTGTACTTTTGGCTTGTTAGATGCATATTTCTATATATGTTTATGAAGTCTTGTTTTCTTATCTAATTAAAAATTGATAGTTTTTTAAAATTTGCTAATTATGAGTGTTGTCTGTCTAATATATTGTCTGCTGTATGATTAAAGTTACCCATAATTACAACTTGTGGTTGTCTTTTTTATTTAATAACTATTTCTACAATCTTTTGTTGGATGCTTTTCTCTATTATTTTGTTACTTGGCAGTATATAGACTTCTATTACTACTAACTTCAGTTGCTTAAAGTATAGTATAATCTCTATTTGTATTCACTTATTTTCTTAACTGCATTTATATGCTTTTTCCATTGTTCTTTTATTAGAATTTCTATCTCTGATCTTTT